AATTTTAATATAAATTCTACACCTAATGTTAAAGATCCCACATTGAATGGTTTATAATAGACATGAACTACTCCTCTCATTATTGTCCATTGGTTTTGAGATGGTTCCATGAATATTAATATGACATCAGAGCTCAAATGAGCATCCAGTCCAAAAAATAGGATCCCACCATGATCGATGAGCCAAAAGAACCACCATCTTGAGGGGCATGTTAAGGATCCCACATTGAAAAGAAAAGAGATCTTAGAATGGTTTATAATAGACATAGATTACTTATCTCATTAGCAATTGATTTTGAGATGGAATCCAGGAGTATAATGGAAACCTTTTATAAATAGAAAAAATGATATTAAAAATAAAATTAAGGAACAAAAATGGTTACTTTTTATAAGTGCGGAGACCAAAACAAACATTCTAATAGTATAGGGACTAAAATCAACTAAAAAATTAAAGTAACAAACTCACCAAAGATTAAACAAAATAAATTATTCTAAAAGCGTTATTCTTTATATACAGAGCTATTAAGCTACTCTAAGTAGAAGTGAACATATATATTTGTATAAAAAAAAATTCTTTCTTTTTTCCTAAAGGTTTTTATTTGAACAAAGTTACGTGGAGGACAACGATATTCCAATGTTTGAAGCGTGTGATGGACACTTGCTAATTTAGGATCAACAAAAAAAACATTGGTTTTCATTTTCTCTCATTTGATATGTTGAGAAATAATAGCAACCGACCAAAATTTTAAAATTTGACCATTAGAATGGTCACATTTTAAATATACTAGTAAGAAACACGTGCGGTGCACGTGAAATTTCATAGTTTCTATTTCAATGTTTAAAAATATAAAATTTAATTAAATAGTTAAAATTTATAATCTAAGTTGGTTTTTTTTATCTCCAAATATTTACCTCACCAAGTTTTTTCGTATTTTCAATGTTTATCTCATAAAACAACGTCTCAAAAATTCTCATCACCCACTGATGCGGTTAGTGTGACTAAAAATATTATTCTTCAATTACTTAAATTTTTTTTCTAAAAAAAACACATATTCATGGATTTTTCATCCTTTTTTCCCTAAACATAACAATACATAAAAGTAAATAAAACTTTGTTTCAATTTCTTATTTGAGTCATTGAAAAAAAAATGACAAAAAAAAATAGTGAGAGATAGAGATGCGTTCAGGACAACCGTTCTTTGCCATGTTCGAGTTCCGGTCCAATTCCTTGCCCTAGTTCGTTGGGAATGCCAACCGCAGCCATGTTCCGATAGATTGCTCCGGCTATTTTCATCACACGATGATCACCTTATGAAGGAGGAGGTCATTGAGAGAGTCCTCGCGGTTATCAAGTGTCATCCCAAAGTGGATCTGTCCAAGGTGATTCTATCTTATCACTCATTTTCTCTTTCCTTTTTCCAGTTGATTGAGTTGTTTGGAAAAAAAATAACTAAAAAAGTTGAATATTCGATCAAACAATCTAACTATATATAAGAAAACACAAGACATTGACTAAAGGAGAAAATTAATATACGGAAAGAGAAAAGAAACTCAAGTTTTGATGGAGAAAAAGTTGGGAGAAAGAGTAAGAAAAAACTCTTTATATAGTTGTAGAAAATAAAAGTTACGAAACTTTTGAAATTCCTTATTAATTATAATTCAAAATAAGTTATAACTTTTTAACATAGAAATAAGGAGACAAAACTCTCATTATTCTGACTCTTTATATTCTAACCTTTAAGTTTGAGAGTTTATTAGAAAGAGGAAATAAATTTGAGAAAAAGTAAAATTTGGAATGATGGAGATTACATATTTTAAAAGAAATGAAAAAAAAGGAAAAGTGGCGTGGGAGGGAGAGAGAAAAATTTATATTTGAACGACAAAATTGCCCTAAAAATATCAATGGAAATGTTGAAATTAAAAGGGCAAAATAGAAAGAAAAAAAAGGGAAAGTGGCATGAGAGGGAGAGAGAAAAATTTATATCTGAAGGACAAAATTACCCTTAAAATATCTATGGTAATAATGTTGAAATTAAAAGGGTAAAATAGGGAGAAAAAGTTTCTCCCTATGGCCCCTTTTATATATACTATAGATATGCATGTATGTAAAGTTACATTAATATGGTTGGTTGGCATTATGATGTATTAATTTTTTTAATTACATCATGTGACATGCAGGGATTCTTAACCCTATGTCCTTTTATAGGGATTTTAGAAGAAATTAAATAAGGTTTTAAATAAGTGTAGCCTCATCGTCGGGTAGCCGATCCAAATCCAGCTCAATCCCGATCTAAATCTAAGGTTAACGTTTGACTAATCTGGTCCAATTTAGTAGATTCATTAATTAAATTGGATACAAATATTTGTTTCTCTAATTAGATTGGCCCGCCCAATTGAATAAAATTAAATATAACAAATTATATATATATACATATATATATATATATCAATTAATTATTGTGTAGTATCATTTACATACCTTTATGACATTTTTTTCTTTATGTTAAAATATAAAAGAAACAAAAATGCAATTGAGCTTTTTAAAAATAAAATTATTTAAGTCGTAAAAATATGATATATTTAAGCTTTCTCGATAACCATTTGAAAAAGTAACAAAAATGGCATAAAATAATAAAAGTTAAAAAACACTTTTACTCCTGTACTTTCGCTAAAGTAACAATTTAATCCCTAAAATTTAGTTTGTAACGATTTAGTCTCTGTAGTTTCAAATTGGTAACAATTTAATTCTCGAACTTTAATATGTAACAATTTAGTCATTGTAATTTAAAGTTAGTTAACGATTCAGTCCTCATCATAAATTTTTTTTGTTAAGTTTCTTGTATGTATAGATTGATAAACTAAAGAGGGACCAAATATGTTTATGAATTAGAAAGATTAAATTGTTATATGATAAAATTTGACACTTAATTTTAATAAAAATTTTTACGATAGGGATTAAATTATTACAAATTTTAAACTACAAAGATTAAATCGTTACAAGTTAAAGTTCAGGGACTAAATTGTTACTTTAGTGAAAGTATAAGGATTAAATGTGTTTTTTAACCAAGAATAAAATAAAAACATAAATTCTGTTGGAGGCGAATCCTGGCCTGCCACGTGTCATGATCGAAAAGGTGAGCTGGTTAAACACGGGCGAAATGGAGAAGTCGACTCCAAAATACTCAGGTCAACAGTCAAGGTAGGACTTATAATGCCGAGCTGAGCTAATATAAAGTCCGTAACAGTGTCCCTTCCGTACCCGACAACACGCCGCGATTTTAAGGTGTGTCAGAACCCCTGTCGGGCCCAGTTTCTATAAATAGAAACCTTTGCCTTAAATGCAAGGTACGCAATCCTAAGTAGACTCGGCAGGTTAGCTCGGACTAGGACTAACTTGCTCGTCGGAGTGCTAACTTTGTTTTCCAGGTCTCAAAAAGTGTTCAGAGAAAGGGTGGGACCGTTGGCCATAGTTCGTCCTGAGCATTCCCATCTAAATCGTATTCGAGCTCGGTCAATTTCGGGCTCAAACAAATTCTAAAATTTAGAAAGCTTGGTTTGAAAAAAGGTTAAGAAAATAATTTTAAATAATTTATTATATCGGCCAATTGAAGTCCGAAGCTTCGATCCAATTTTGACCCATTGAGTTAGACTTATAGATTGAATTATGAGCTTAGGGTTTAAACAACATTTCTATTATATTATAAAATATCAAAATCGAAAAAAAAAAATCACTAATGTGAATACATGCATAAAATTAATAATAAAAAGAGTTTAATTTATTTAGAAAAAGTGAAATTCTCATTTATTAATTTAAATATTGAATTTATTAAATTTTATGACTTTTCTAGAAATATTCATCATATTTTATTGTTGCGATTTCTATATAAATTGAGATATCGACATTTTCATCCACTGAGATTTAAAACCTCAATTAGTTATTATACTAAAAGAGGTTTGAAATATACAACTATTTAAATTTTAGATCAAAACATTCATTTCTAAGAATAATACATTTTTCGTCAAAGCGATAGCTCATCGTTAATTTGCATATATCTTCAATTAATATTGTGAGTTCGATCCTCTAGCAGATACCCGCATGTACTAAAAAAAGAAAAGAAATCCATTTTTCATAAATTTAATCCATGGCTTCCTTCCTCTTTCAGAAAGAGCACATGCGACTCCCATTGGCCATTGGTAAATGCACATATTCACCATTAAAATTATACTTTCCATGGCTTACCCGACGGTGACCGCAAAGTGTCAAAAGTCCAAAGGGGATGTTTTGGTTTAAAATAATGCATTCATTTTACCACTTCAAACTCTTTGCTTGCAATAGCCAACTTATATCCTCACTTTACCATCTTCACAATTTTATTACCAAATACACTCTACTGATTTATTTTAAATTAATATTGTATACTTTGATAATTATACTTTTTAAGAGTATTTAGTGCAAATGGTAGTTTTGGTGATGTTGATCGAGTAGGGCAAAAGCGCATCTTCAAGACACAATTTTATTGTTTTAAAAAGTGGTCTACTGATCAGGGGATAAATGAGATGCTGGTTAATAATTTTCTATCCGTTTTTCTCTAGAAATTGTCCTCTAGGTGGTAGAAAAAAAAATTCAAATCATACTTGAAATAGTTTTTTGAATAGACAATTTCATACGTCAATGTCCCCAATGAATAGTTTGGGTGACTTGGGACCTCAAGGAATATTCTTAAGTATCTTGGGTTCATGTCATATGGAACGCAACTCCACCCAGAAATGACTCCTTACATAGGTATGAGTATGAGGACAGTCCCTAGGTATAACGGTATAAAGGCTAAAGGGCCGTCGACTTTCGGATAATCAATAAAGACTCTCACGAACTTCAAAGTAATTTTAAAATAATTATTAGTAGTTTCCCAACCTCCTCTATCCTTTCCCCACCCCTCTCAACCCTCAATCTATAAATAGCTCCACTTCAAGCTCCTTTCTTCATCCAAAGTGCCTAAAGATCTCATAATTTTAGAGACAAACAATGCATTTTCTCAAACTCATTGGCCTTTTTCAACTCTATCTTCTCATCATGACCCTTTTGGTCAAGTCTTCCAATGCTCAAAATTCAGCTCAAGACTACATTAATGGCCACAACTCAGCTAGATCACAAGTTGGTGTTGGAAATATCACATGGAACACCACTCTTGCTGCTTATGCTCAAACATATGCCAACTCTAGGAAAGGAGATTGCCAATTGATGCACTCCAATGGACCTTACGGCGAAAACCTCGCGAAGGGCAACAATGGCTTCAGTGGTTCGACTGCAGTCAACTTGTGGGTGAACGAGAAGCCTTACTATAGCTATAGCAACAATGCGTGCAACGGGGGCGAGTGCCTCCATTATACACAAGTTGTTTGGCAAAGTTCTTATCGTGTTGGGTGTGCTAGAGTTCAGTGCAACGATGGATGGTGGTTCGTGTCTTGCAACTATGACCCTCCGGGCAATTGGGAAGGGGAATGGCCTTATTAGCTACCCTTTAAATTAAACTAAAAGCTTCAGTTTCTCAAGCCTTTTAGTATGATATAAATAAAGTTTATATATGTCGTACTAATGTAATGGAAATCAAAATAAAAAGGTAAGTAGTAGTTTGATGCAAGATTATCCTATATGATGCTATGCATCTAATAGTCAGTGATCATGAAAGAGTTTGTTATGATGTAAAAGATATGTCTAAATATATATATATATATATTTAGGAGTTGTTTGATAACCTTTCCTGTTTTTTGTTTTTAATTTTTCATTTTATGAAAAACACGCTTGTTTGATAACCCAATTTTTTGTGTTTTGTTTTTTTTTTTTAAACATTTTGAAGAACAAGAGGTCATGAGTTTGAATCTCTCACACTCTCTTGACAATATGCTCAAAAAAGGAAAATAAAAAAAAGCTAAAGATGGTACCCTTGTATTTGATATGTTAAAAGAAAAAGAAAAACATATTTTATTAATATATAGGTTAAAAAACACATTTGATCCCTGTACTTTCATTAAAGTAACAATTTAATCCCTGAACTTTAACTTGTAACGATTTAGTCCCTGTACTTTCCCTAAAGTAACAATTTAGTCCTTGAACCTTAACTTGTAACGATTTAATCCCTGTACTTTAAAATTTATAACAATTTAGTCCCTATCGTAAAATTTTTTTATTAAAATTAAGTGTCAAATTTTATAATATAACAATTTAATCTTTCTAATTCATAAACATATTTGGTCCCTCTTTAGTTTATCAATCTATACATGCAAGAAACTTAATAAAAAAAAAATCACGATAAGGACTAAATCGTTACCAACTTTAAATTATAAGGACTAAATTGTTACATATTAAAGTTCAAGGACTAAATCGTTACCAATTTGAAAGTACAAGAACTAAATCGTTACAAACTAAAGTTTAGGGACTAAATTGTTACTTTAGCGGAAGTACAGAGACAAAAAGTGTTTTTTAACCTAATATATAAGATATACTGATAGAAATTTGAATAAGATTAAAGTAATATAATATCTTTTTTTAACCTACAAAACCGTTAAACTATTTATATCCTCTGTGATATCGAAGTGCAAGTACCCAATATCCAGTAACAGTTGAAGAGCAGAGGTAAAACTGATGGTAAAAACTATATATGTGTATAGTGTCACATTAGCAACACAACAAAACATATTTAATTACATTTTGCATCATTTAATAAAAGAATTAAAAAATCTATTTGCTAGCTTCATAACGAGAAATTGATAAAAAAAGTACTTTTGCATCATTTCTGCTTCCCAGGACTGCTTACGGGTTGGGTTGAATCGGGTTAGGGGTACTTTTGGACTAATCCAAATTTTCGGGTTGACCATATGTGGGAACCGACGAATTAAAAATTGATGGCCAATCAAACGCAACCCAACCCAAAAATTTCGGGTTGGGTTATCGGTTTGTCACTTTACTTTAATTTAAATTTTATTTTGTTTATAACCTAGATCGGAAAAAGTGTAGAAAAATTAAAACAGGAGAATTAGTTTCCTTTGCTATTTAGTTTCAGCCATTCTAATCCAAAGACATAATACTAAAAAGTATACACTAAAATCAATATATTTTTTTAAAATGTAAACCTTACTTTATACTAAAAATTTCTATTATTGATAAAATTTGTGTGAATATTTTGCAAATAGAGACTAAAATGATCACTTTCTAAAAGTATGAGGCAAAATACATGGATTAAAATAAACTAAAATTTAAAATACAGTAATTCCAAAACGAACATTTTCAAAGTAAAAAGACTAGAACCGAGACTGAAAGTATAGGAACCACAAAATAGTATTTTAACCTAATTTTTTTTATTCATAAGTTAAGAATGAAACTGAAAAGTCTTGAAAAGATGACTAATTTATATGTATAACATAAATTCTATTTCTTAAACTTACACAAAAACCCTCTTTTTGATAGAAAAGATAGATGCCAAAAAAAGAGAGTCAAAAGAGATAAAAGTAAACAAGGGTTGGCCATTATTAGGATTCACAGCGAATATGGCGGCTCCACAAGTTTAGTTTCTTTTTTTAACACTAGCTAAGAATAACAGCCATGAATTAAACCAAAACCATTCATTCTCATTAATTCTCCCTATAAATATACACTAAACCCGAATGATCTCCATCACATTCTTCTTCTTCTTTCACATTTTTGGCTACACCCACAAGAAAATAATGTCGAAAATGGCTTCCTTGTTCACCATCTTCCTGATCGGGCTGACCCTAAGCTCCATCGCCAGAGCCCAGAACACGCCCGACGACTTTCTGAAGGCGCACAAAAAGTTCAGAGACGAGGTGGGCGCGAGTGAAATGTTCTGGGACGACGAAGTGGCAGCTTATGCAAAGAGATATGCGGAGTCAAAGATTGATACTTGTGAAATGGTGCACTCTGATACACACTACGGCGAGAACTTAGCCACTGTAAACGGCGACCTTACGGCTGAGATGGCGGTGCAAGCGTGGGCGGATGAGAAGAAGYACTACGATTACAACGCCAACAAGTGTGTCGGCGGTGAGTGTCGCCATTATACGCAGCTCGTGTGGAAGGATAGTTTTCTGTTGGGTTGCGCCACTGTCAAGTGCAAAAATAATTGGACTTTGATCTCCTGCAACTATAGCCCTACTGGTAATGTTGTTGGTGAGAAACCTTATTAGGTTATCTAAGGTTTTTTATTTCATCTAAATGTACTCTTTTTTCTTTTTTTCTTTTTTGGTTTCTTGTACGAGAATTGTATGATTCATGCGCCATGGAAATGGTGCCGGTAATAACAATAAAAGCTTGATTGATTGGTTCATCTCTCTACTATCTTTTCTATTGCAGTACATGATTTTGATGGGGACAATTGTGTAGTTGTTTTAATTTGTTTCAATTATTTCTAACCTTTTGAATTTAATAGTAATTATTGAAAGAGTCTTATATTGTAATTAAGATTATTGTTAGAATATAATTTATTTTCTAACTATGTACATTAAAAATAAACTAATACTATATGCAATCTCCCGTTTGCTGGCCAAAGTGAATAAGTGGGGAGGAGGTGGCTAGTGGCATGATCCCCTCCTCTCCTTATCCTCTCGACACGATGAGTGTTTCCTCTCAGTTTTCGACTAGTTTTTCAGAGTATCTTTTCTATTTCTTGTGGTTTTTTTTCTTTTTTTTTTATTACGCTGTGTGGGAATTCAAAGATGGATGCTGATAGTGTGTGAGCTGTCGGGATCCCTTAATTGCATATATCTCTACAATAATGACAATGAAAATTGAGGGGGATCGAAAACTTCTGTTTCGAGCACTGTGGCACTCAAGGAAAAGTAACATCGGTGGGAGGAATTTTTCAATGTTCTGCGACATTTTGGGTCCCACAATGTCTATTCTGAAAATTAAAAAAGGAAACAATATTCTTTGTCTGTGGAGGAGGTATTTAAGGCTGTGCCAAAAAAAATTTTCACCCCCTCATGGATTATTCCTGGAAAAACATGCCACTTGCAATAGTTCACTTTCTCCTACCTCTCTTATGCAATATCGCGAAGAATTTCTTCCAACTCTTCAGCGTTTATGAAGTCAAATTTTTCTAAGTGGCTTCAGTTGAAAAATGAAGCTAGCCCAAGTGACATTTCTCTACCTTATTTTACTAATATATATATATATATATATAAAAAGGGAAAAAAACAAAATTAATATACTAATAATATGAATTCTACCATCCCTATTATGAACTTAGTTCAGCGGTAATTGACATATGTTTTTAACCAACAAATTATGAGTTCGCGACAGGGATCTGCTTGTTTTAATACAATAAGTGGAGGTGAATTTGGGTTATGAATGCTTGTTTTGCTCTATTCACCCGTAAGGAATCATAGAATTCATATCACTTTTATATTCATTTTGATTTTTTTCCTTTTTATCAACAGTAGTTTATTTTAAATATTGGACATAGTTTTCTTTTTTTAGAAAGAGAGATTCTTATTAAGGTATGTGAAAACATACACACAAAAGAAAGGCCTATAGAAAAGTACTCTAATTTAAAGAAATGGTAGTAACATCATAATTACAAAAGAGGTAGGATTTTGTAGACCATAACGATACAAAATTTTTTATACCCTTCCAAAGGCTGGTGGAAGATTTCGAGAAGTCTGTTTTTAATTCAATCTCAGCCCATATGACCACACAACTACGAGAATAATCTTCCTCAATGACCACACAACTAGAGAATAATCTTCCTCAAATCATTCTTCTCATTGCCAACTATTGCCTTAATTGTTGTAGCCAAAACCTTCCTTACTATCTAGAATCTTTTCTTTCATTTTACCGTTGCTATTATTTCCTTAGTGGGAAAATCATGAAGGTCAATACGTGTAAAAATACCTTATTTATTCTCTTAGATGTCTATTTAACAATAATTGTCTTGGTTTAGCTTCTATATACATGAAATTCAATCAATTATACTGTAATTTTCAGATCTTTCTTCTTGTGCATTTCATGCTAAACCTTTTATGGTATTAGAGCATTAGACACGAATAGAGAACTCGATTGAGTTTCGATTGACATTCAGTATAAACTCCTTGACCTCTCTATCACACAAATTCTTCCTCTGTGTTTTCATTTTTTGGCTCATGGCAGAAAAAGAAATTATCTCATTGACTATACAATCATTCCACCAATATGCAAGTCTCATCTCTATCAAGTTGAATTCCTCAAATTACCTATTGTGGAAGTCACAGGTGCTGCCGCTCATACGAACGCTTGGCCTAAAGCATCACCTTACCGAAAAGGCTCCCACAGTAGATTCAATCAAAGACAAGGATGGCAATTCAGTGACCAACCCTCAACCCAACATATGGACCAACAATGATGCCTCTTAACATCTTGGTTACTAGGAACCATTGCTGAAGATGTGTTAGCATTGATTGAAGGTACTAAAACTGCAAAAGAGGTATGACATTTTCTTGAAGATCAACTATTAACTATGACTAAAAAGAATGAATTACACATTAACGAAGCCTTACTCACTTTGGAAAAGGGAACCTTGACTCTTGATAAGTATATCAGAAAATTTAAGAGTTTGTGTGATAAGCTTGCTGCTATGAAAAGGCCTTTAGAAGATGTGTCAAAAGTCTTTCACTTAGCTAGAGGATTGGGGAGCAAACTGTAAGGATTTTAGGACAGCCACGTTGTCTAAACCCCCTTATCCTTCTTACAATCAATTTGTTCTTCCCTTGAAAACACATGATCAACTTATTTCTATTGAAGAGACAGAAGAAAAAGCTAGTAAAATTCAAGTTAATCAAGCTTTTCTACTCAAACCGAGGAAGAAGTAAGTGGAGAGGACGACAATTCTCCTTTCGAAGAAGAGGATTCCATCATAGGGAACCAAAGGATCACGACAAATCTCAGCAACGTACTCACTCTCCTTTGAAAAACAATATGTCACACCAAGGTGTTAGTAACATGATAGATTTCAAGCAAGACAGAGGAATAATATGCTAAATATGTGGTAAACATAACCACACGGCTCTTGAATGCTGGAAGCGCTTCGATCATGCTTACCAATATGAGGATATCCCAGAAGCCCTTGCTGCACTCACGTTAAATGAAATTGAGGATAACAACATCTATGCTGATTCTAGAGCAACGTAACACATGGTAAATGATCTAGGTAAAGTACAATTTGCTCGCTCCTATTATGGTCCTGATAAACTGTTCGTTGGTGATGGTAAAGGTTTGAATATCACCCACATGGGTCCAACTTTATTTAAAACTCCAAAAGGTCCATTAGTTCTTAAAAATGTACTTATTGTGTCTGAAATAAGAAAGAACCTCTTATCTATCAGCAAATTAACTCACGATTATAATTGTTCAATTACCTTCTTTGATAATCAATTTCTTATTAAGGACCGGACAAGTACTTGCTGAAGGCTACAAAAGAAAAGTGCTATATCAGTTGGGAGAATTACATACCAAGCATAAAGATAATCCAGCTACCTACCTTGCTTCATCTACTGATTTTTAAAAATCTTATTTAGTTTCTTACAACAGTGCACCAATTGATTCTGTTGAAACTGCTTTGATTGCTAATAAAGCTTCAAGTTCTTCTTCTATTTGGCATAAAAGATTATGTCATTTAAATGACAATTTCTTAAAAATTCTTGCTAATAAATAACTCGTTAATGTGACAAGTTGGAAAAAGGAACAAGTATAACTTGGAAAAAGTTGTACGTTTTTCTTTTAAATCTACTGAAAATTATTATGTGAAACCTATAGATAAAATATATTGTGATCTTTGGGACCTGCTCCTGTAGCTTCTTGTCAATTTTTTAAATATTATGTCAGTTTCATAGATGATTATTCAAGATTTGTGTGGTTTCATCCCTTAAAAAAGAAGTCTGATTTTGTTACTTGCTTTGTTAAATTCAAACTCTTAGTAGAAAATCAATTTGAAGGAAAAATAAAAGTTTCTCAAAGTGATGGTGGTGGAGAATTTCAATCTATTGCCTTTAAAAATATCTTGGAACAAAATGGGATCCATCATCAATACTCTTGCCCTTACACTCCTCAAGAGAATGGAGTAGTAGAAAGAAAACATAGGCACATTGTGGAAATAGGTCTATCTCTTATTTTTCAAGCTCATATGCCTCTTAAGTATTGGGTTGGTTCCTTTTTAACTACCATTTACCTCATAAATCGCATGCCTACACAAACTTTATGGATGAATTCTCCTTTCCAAAAATTGTATGATAAAGAACCCAACTCTGACAATATAAAGATTTTTGGATGGATGTACTTTCCATATCTAAGAGATAATCCTTACAAAAGCAAAATTTCGAAACAGACATATCCTTGCATCTTTTTTGGATATAGCATAGAACACAAAGGATATAGGTGCCTTGATCCAGTGAACCATAAAATTTATATTTCAAGGTCTGTTGTGTTTGACGAAGAATATTTTCCTTTCAATGAAAAAACTCCTAATAATACCAACAGGAGTCCTTTCCCTCTTTTTCTTACTAATTTTGCCGGGACGTTAGACAAAAGTGAGGTATCAACACACAAAAGGAAATAAATGATGTGTTGACCGACAATGTCAGAACTAATATATCTCTTGAAGAACCTGAAACCCCAACCCAAATACTGATCCAAGAAGCAAAGACACAATTGAAACACACGAAGACAATTCAAATACAACAAATGAGGACACTCACCGAAGCCTTGACATTGCCTTAGCAGATGAAGCCAATCACACAGCAGAGCAACTTGAAAATTTAGAAGTGGAGCAATCTATAAACTCAGTATCTACAGCAGAGCAATCTCTTTAGAGGCCCTCTCCAATCCAATTGTGATGCTAAAATACTCTCACAGAATTTTTCCGTCAATATTCATGGAATTCTATCTCAAAACCAATTGGCAATGAGAGGAGTAATTCATATCTATTATAAATAATTGTAAGGTTCATTTTCCTTTTCAATGTAGGATCCTTAATATGCCCCTCAAGATCGTGACTTTTTGGCTCATCGATCTTGGTCGAATCTCATTTTTGGATCAATCGCTCGTTTGAGCGTTTTGACTCAGATAACATGTCAATATTCATGGGTTTTATCTCAAAACCAATTGGCTATGAGAGGAGTAGCACGATCCTTTTTTCTTTTTCAACGTGGGACGATCCTTAATAAATTCCTCGTCAATTTCTCAATACTCTTACAAACTTTAACAGAGGCTTTAAAGACGGACAATAATATGCAGGCAACTAAAAGTCGATTGAATGAGAGTGAGCCAACCCCATTTCGAAATGTATGAAAACTTCCAGCTTTCAAACTTTCTACGAATTCTTTCAATGATAGGTTCCCAAAAAGAGTCACATCGAGGATTCCCACCCAGAGGCATGTTAAGATATATAGAATAAGGGAAGTGAGACAGTAGGGATACTCCAAATCTGAGCTCGCTGCAGAAGGTAATCGTTGGAAATGTTAAAACCAGAAAATGATGGCTTATGCAGATTCATGTTGAGATCCAACGAAAGCTCAAAGGATTGTAACCAGCCCATAAAGATTACAAAGTTTAGTAATGTCTGCGCTAGAGAATAGAAGAATATCGTCAGCGAACAGAAGGTGTGATGCATGAAAATCACCTTGCTGAAGGTGGAACCTTCAATGAGGATCATTTTTCCAGTAAACGGCTCACCATGGCCAAAACAAATAGAAAAAGAAATAGTGGATCCCCAGGCCTTTGGAGGAAATGATTCTAAGTATCTCTCGGCTTACCATTAAGGAGAATAGAATAAGAGACTATGATATAGCCTTTAATCCGTGAAGTCCATTTATTAGAAAATCCCTTCTATCTTAGGACCGAGGAAGGGAACTCCAATTCAGTTTATCAAAAGCCTTCTCAAGGTCTAGCTTAATAATAACTCCTTAAGAATGGCATCAGTAATTTGTCTGCGGTGGATGAAAGTAATTGGTGGTTGGCAATCGTAGAAGCAGATTTTTAATGTACATAGTTAGAAAATAAATGATATTTTAACCATAATCTTAATTACAATATAAGACTCTTTCAATAATTACTATTAAATTCAAAAGCTTAGAAATAATTGTAACAAATTAAAACAACTACACAATTGTCCCCATCAAAATCATGTACTGCAATAGAAAAGATAGTAGAGAGATGAACCAATCAATCAAGCTTTTATTGTTATTACCGGCACCATTTCCATGGCGCATGAATCATACAATTCTCGTACAAGAAACCAAAAAAGAAAAAAAGAAAAAAGAGTACATTTAGATGAAATAAAAAACCTTAGATAACCTAATAAGGTTTCTCACCAACAACATTACCAGTAGGGCTATAGTTGCAGGAGATCAAAGTCCAATTATTTTTGCACTTGACAGTGGCGCAACCCAACAGAAAACTATCCTTCCACACGAGCTGCGTATAATGGCGACACTCACCGCCGACACACTTGTTGGCGTTGTAATCGTAGTRCTTCTTCTCATCCGCCCACGCTTGCACCGCCATCTCAGCCGTAAGGTCGCCGTTTACAGTGGCTAAGTTCTCGCCGTAGTGTGTATCAGAGTGCACCATTTCACAAGTATCAATCTTTGACTCCGCATATCTCTTTGCATAAGCTGCCACTTCGTCGTCCCAGAACATTTCACTCGCGCCCACCTCGTCTCTGAACTTTTTGTGCGCCTTCAGAAAGTCGTCGGGCGTGTTCTGGGCTCTGGCGATGGAGCTTAGGGTCAGCCCGATCAGGAAGATGGTGAACAAGGAAGCCATTTTCGACATTATTTTCTTGTGGGTGTAGCCAAAAATGTGAAAGAAGAAGAAGAATGTGATGGAGATCATTCGGGTTTAGTGTATATTTGTAGGGAGAATTAATGAGAATGAATGGTTTTGGTTTAGTTCATGGCTGTTATTCTTAGCTAGTGTTAAAAAAAGAAACTAAACTTGTGGAGCCGCCATATTCGCTGTGAATCCTAATAATGGCAAACCTTTGTTTACTTTATCTCTTTTGACTCTCTTTTTTGGCATCTATCGTTTTGATCAATTCATACAAAAAGAGGGTTTTTGGGTAATTTTAACAACTATACATCATTTCGGAAGACTCGCACGTTTAAATTGCCGGATTCAATCTTCGAGCGTTCTTCACGATCTTATTGTTTTTGGTCGAATATTTTCGGTAAAAACAATACATATAAATTAGTCAAATTTTTCAAGATTTTTCAGTTTTCATTCTTAACTCTATGAACAAAAGAATTATAAATTTTTAACCTTAATAAGCTTATCATTAAGTAGTCATAGCATGTAGACATCCCAAATGTAACTTAGATTCACCTATTAGCAAATTAAACCTGCCTTATAGAATTTATGTTCTACATATAAATTAGTCATTTTTTCAAGATTTTTCAGTTTCATATTCTTTAATCTATTAAAAGACATATTATCAATTTTTAACCTTAATAAATCTATCATTAAGTAGTGGTTCTATTAGAAGAGCTCGGTTGTTTCTACTTGAACATGGGTTTATAACTTTTCAGGAACTGCTTTCAAAAGTTTTTCATCAATTTCTCGTTGAAGGGATGGTCCAAAGGAAGACGATGAAGATAGCAAATAGATTAAATTCTTTTTTAATTAAATGATGCAAATTGTAACCAAATATGTTATGTTTAGTTATTATGTGACTTGATGAGCCAAACAGGAACCTAACTCAATGGTAATTGGCATATAACTTATTCTCGATTTGATGAACATGTATAAGTCAAGTGCGGCTTGTACACATTTCAATTAGTATCCGACCAAATTAGCACATCAAACCTATTTAAATCTATTTTATTGTATAATCATAATTTAAGGATATCTCCTGGAACTAAAAAAAACAAATAATAAAGATATCTCATAGAGTTACATTTACAAATTATTCAAAACACAATCTGTCTATTTGAATTCAAATTTCTCCATCCTATTTGTGCGTTTAATATTTTATTCATTTAAAAAAGCATTTTTATAGAAAAACATAACATCAACATGTGTATTTTCAAAAATAAAATAGATTAAGGTTTTGATATTCTGAAAAATATCATAATCTGAATCAAACTAAAACTCAAATACACTTAAAAAAATAGATTCAAGCTCGGGTTCCCTTATCTTACATTAGTCCAAATTGGTGCGTTCTTTGCCAATCTTCAAATAAATCTTTGGATCATCTATTTCTACACTTTCCATATTCGACGGCTCTATGGACTTGTCTCTTTGATACTTTTCGTCTAGCTTATGTGGTGTGCCTGCTCGCATTAATCATATTATTCATGAAAGCCTTTTCTGCTCGTTATCAAAGAGAAACCTTCTTTGGTGCAAAATGCTATTGGATCTTTCCTGTGGAACCTCTGGTTGGAAAGAAATAGTTGTACATTTTCGGATAAATCCAAATCTCACATTCAACTATGGGAGGATATCAAGTGGCATCATTTCTTGGTCTTCAACATCCCCACTTCCCCTCTTTTTTATAATTATGACATTGTATATTTTTTTTAAAAAAAAAATTGGGGTGCCTTTATATAAGTCTCCTCTTTTGTATTTTCCTTACATACTTTCATTGAATGAAGTGATACCTCTTTTCCAAAAAAAAAAAAAAACTTATATGCTATATTTGAGAAAAGAAAAAAAACTTATATGCTATATTTGAAAAAAGAAAAAAAAAATTGATACTGCAGTGAAATTTTGAAAGAAAAGATTATGATACGGTTCATCTCAAAATCACTTGACAATGAGAGAATTAGCCATGTATCTTATAAAACCTTGTTATGTTCCCTTCATCTTTTAGATGTGAGATCCGTAACATGCAGCTTCAAGATGCGGCTCTTTTGAGCTACCAATTTTTTCCTAATCTTTTTCTTTTTTGGATCGAATGCTTAATTGAGCGCTTGTTCTGTGACCATTTTAATATTCAAAGAATTCGATCTCAAAATCAAGTGACAATGAAAAAATTAGCTCATGTATCTTATAGACCTTGTTACGTCCTTTGATATTTTAGATGTTGATTCATAACATACTACCTCAAGATGTGGCTCTCTTTTGGGTTCACCAACTTTTTAGGCTTCTTTTTTTTAAGGAGAGATCAAATGCTTGTTTACGCTTGTTGGACTCTGTTACCATCTTATCATTTATAAGATTCTATCTCAAAATCAATTGATAATGAGAGAAGTAGTCTAAAGTATGTCTCCTCTTCCCTCTTATGATTTTTGAACAAATTGAAGGCAAATGGATCAACATGCGAAGGAGCAATGAATCTGTCCCAGAACTTGCTGCATAAAACCAGTAATTAACTAATTCTTATAAAGTTGGTAACCAAAAACGTATGGAAAAAGTTGTCTTATTTAATGAAGGGTTAATATGGAACGTTGGCCATTGGCTCACATGGCTACAAGCCCCAAAGAAACTGACAAAGTCTAGAAAGATTGCGGCTGCTAAATGCGAAACCATGACTTTTGATAGTACCTTTTTCTTGCCCATGTGAGTGAGCAAATTGCCTTTCATAATAATCTCGTTCCTTTCTTCTATCTTCAAAGTTATTATAAGAACACGCATGTCAATGTCAAGATTTTATTTTAGGGTTTCGAGCCTATATGAACCTACCCCATATCTTTCTATCCTTCAACAACTCATATAATTCAGTTAAAGAATGAAATGTTGAGGGTGATTAAAAAACTAAAGATTTTGATTTCAGTGGAGACTGCTACGATCATGATAAACAGTGTGAAGTAGTGTGACATCCGAGTAGAGATGAGGAGTAGATGAATTAATTGATATCAAATTCGAATAAGGGAGATCTTGAGATCATAAAAGAATGGTCAAGAAAGACTTAAAAGAATTGATAGTCACTACTTATATAACAATGCATTTTCCTTTTCGGTAACTCAATTGTAAGAATTCTAAAGTCAAGCGTGCATCTTGGAGCAATCTTCGGTTTGGTGAATTCTTAGTTGCTTTACTAGGAAGCAAAGTAGGTGAGTCGGGGCAATTAGGTGCCAAGTCTGCAAGTTTTACTAAGCGGGACATGGGATCAATTTAATCTCTGGCATCAATTTAATTACAGGTTCATATGATTTTATTAAACTAATTTCTTTTGAATTTGACTTAATAAAAATCAATTAACTAAAAACAATTAATGATTTCAAATTAACTCAGGTAAACTATTGGAGGTTAATTTTGATTAATTTTAATGCTCTATAATTAACTAAAATTATTTATAATTTCCATGAAATTTTCATACACAACCAAATATCGTTATTTTTTATTCTCAAATATCTTATTTCCAAGCATCTAATTCTCAGACATCTTAGCTTATTCCAAATAATATTAAACTAAAATCTCAAACCAAACGACTCTTTGAGGGTTCAAAAAAAACACCTCACTATGTGGTAAAAGCCAAGACCATCATGGGACTTTAGTTGAATTCCCAACAATAATCCTCCCCTCGAATAAAGTACTACCGAGCCTCCCCTCAAATAGTAATTCATCCATCCAACTCTTATGAGACCTTCTGGGTGAAACTAAAAGCAAAGTCGTGAGGATTATGCTCAAAACGCGGACAATATCACTCAGTTGTGGAAATACTTGGGGGTATTTCGATTATCTGTTGTCATTAACAAATGTTATAAGAAAAAGGATTAATCGGAAAAAAAAATACTAAGGTGCCTTATTTAATAATGATGAAATTCTAAAAACAACATTTTTATATATGTTGTAGGGTCGGACGGTCGCCCCATGAAATTAGTCGAGGTGCGACTCATGGATATAAAAATATATATATTTTTATATTTTCGACATTTTTTTATTTAGAATTTGAAATCTTAATTGCATAATTACCTTAAAAAAACATATTATTAACTCATTTAATTTTTATTAAAATTAACATATGTAAAATATTATGAATTATATAATATTGTAAAATAATAATCCTACAAAATTTATAACATATATTTAATAAATTAATTAACAATACTTTTTATTGAACTAAATATTAATTGATTATTACCGTCCATTTAAACCTATATTAATAGGTTCTGTTGGATAACCATTTTGTTTTCAGTGTTTTTGTTTTTGGTTTTTAGTTTTTGAAAAACAGGATGTTTGATAATAACTAATTTAATTTTCTGTTTTTTATTTTCAAAAATCATTTTAAAATTCTACGTAAATGTTTTTAAAAAAATTAGTTTTTAAAAACAAGTTTATGTTTTTCAAAATCTCATTTCTTTTTATAATACTTAAATTTTTTTTGTTCACATTTATTTTTAACAAATTTCTTTCTCTTTAATTTTTTTTCATAAATAGCTCTCTAAAAAATTTATTTTTTTCTCTCTAAAAATTTAAATATTTATTATTATCTCGACTTCAAAATTTTTATTTTTTATCTTTTTATTTTTTATCTTTTTATTTTTTCTTTTTGTTCTATTAGATCACACTCATCTCTTTCTAAAAATTTAATATTTTCCCGAACTTTTATCTTTCTAAAATTTCTAAAATGTTCCTAATCTCTTTTGCCTCTAAAAGTTATATATATGTATCTTTTTTTACTATAACTTTAATTTCTTTGTGTATTTAATTTTTTTTTCCTAAAACATATATTTCGAATCGCGTTTTTATATCTAAATTTTTTCTCCCTATATATATTTTTTTCTCTTTCTATTTTTTTTCTTTAACATATATTTTCCTCTCAACTTTACTCTTTTTCTCTAAAACTTTTATCTTTTCGTCTTTAACTTTTCTTTCACTATTATTTTTCAATTTTTTTATCTTTCTAAAATTTTTCTTTCAAAAATTTATTTCCATATCTCCAAATTTATATTTTCATGTCTCTACATTAGGGATGACAAAAATTCCCGCAGGTTCGGATCCCCGTTCCAAGAATAAGAAATTCGTGTCTCGGTCCCATCCCGATTCCATTTTTTAAATAATTAATATATTTTTATTGACATATTTATTAAATTGTGAATAAAATAATAAATATGTTTTAAAACTGATTATTTATACTAGTAAATAATAATTCTAAAAATAATTAATATATATTTATTAAATTTTTATTTCTTAAATTCTGAAAATAATTAAAATGAATTATAAAATCGGTAATTTTTCCGTGAATATGCCGATCCCGTAATAAGAATTTTTTAACATGGATCTCGATTCCCCGATTGAAGAACGAGGTGCAGACAAGGGATTAAAATTTTCACGTGCATGAAAATGAGGGAGAGTATCCTTACTTTCGTCCTACACCATTATCATCTATAGTCTACATAGAATGTTCTCACAAATATATATTTTCAATTTCAGAAAACTAAAAATGGTTATCGAACGTGTTTGTTTTTATGTTTTTTCAAAGCAAAAAAACAAAAAATAATTATCAAACATATATGGTTTTTCTTTTTTAAAAACAGAAAACTAAAAAAAAAAAACAAAAAACACAAATGGTTATTAAACAGGTCCTGAATACTTTGAGAATTACAATTCAATTTAAACTACTAGACAGACACACATCCAAAAACATAGAATTTCTTTACCGTTTTATTTTTAAACTCTTTCGCTTTGTGGTGAAGGCAAAACGAGGAAAAGTCAAATCCATTAATAACTTCTTCCATCCTTGACAGTGACAATATTTATCTATTTATTAAAGGTCCAAATCATTCATGTCGATCCACTTCAATATAAGTCAACTGATTTAGATACCTATATATTTCGGACAAAAAGATTGCTGAATTCGAAATTTCCACTTGTTATACTAAAAAAACCATAAATACCACATCTATTATCATCTCAATTATTATTGGAATAGAAAAACAAAATTTATGTGTTCTGTTTTCCATGTCTTTTTTTTGGAGAGATTAAAACATGTCTCACAAGTTACAATATCCCTCAATTATTACTTCTTTTTCTCCTATATATGTCATTTTCTTTTTTCATTTAGAAAAATAGAAATCTGTTTTACAATCATTCCCTCTTTCATTCTCATCAACTTTTTTTTCTTTCCAAAAACATACATAAGTTCGTTTTAACTTAAAGTTCATTTTTTAAAATATAACTTTCAAGACTCTCTCTTTTTCTCTTATCTCTTCTTTTTAATTATGAGCTAAAAAGGGAAAAAAAATACCTTCTTTATTTGTTTCCAAGATTTATACACGGTTTTTTCCCAAATTTTAAAAACAAGATTTAAAACAAATATTACCAAATCTATCTCTGCTTTAAAACCAAAAATAAAAAAAACGAAACAAAATAACTAGATATATATAAGCATCAAGACATATATAAATAAATAACTCATAACTTTATGTAACTATTTAATATTCTTAAACATAGATGCAAATATATTGCATATGATCAATATAACAACATCATCATCATTCTGTCACATAATATAAAGTCCCAACTTTTAATCATCTGCCAAGTTCATTCAGTAAGGAAGTTGGCCAATATAGTTGCCTGGAGGATCATAGTTGCAGATCACAAAAACCCAGTTGTTCTCACACTTCACTCTCGCACACCCTATACGCTTACTGTCCCGCCACACTATCTGCGTATAATGCCCGCACTCGTCCCCGACGCAGCGGTTCGCTCGGTGGTCGTAAAACTTCTTCTCAGTTGCCCAGAACTTCACCGCCTCCACCGCAGTCATCTCGCCGTATCCCTCAGCCAGGTTCTCGCCGTAGGGTCCATTGGAGTGCACCATCTCGCAGGTCTCGCTCTTGCTGTTGGCATAATTCTGAGCATAGGCAGCCAGGGTGGCGTCCCAGGAGACCGGCCAGACACCGACCTCGGCTCGGACTGCGTTGTGCGTGTCCACGAAGTCTTGGGGGGAGTTTTGGGCCATGGAGAGGGGAGCTATGAGGAACCCCACCAAGCATATTGTATAGAGAATGGTGGGGGAAGGGGAAGGGGAAGCCATTTTTCTTCTTTTCAAGAGCTTTGGAGGAGATTATTCTTTTGGATTGGTGGTGGAGATTTGGGGTTTAGTAAAGGATATTTATAGAGGAAGGTGGGTTGGTGGCTTTCATTTGCAGTTGGAGAATTGTCTAAGGGAAAAAAAATAAAAAAGAGAAGATGGGACAAAATAATGAGAAGGGTGATGATTTTTCTATTGTTTGTTACTTCTTTTCATTCAAATAATGGGAGGGATATGGGCCATGCATGTGTCATCTGACCTGCTTTTGTTGATAAATTTTGCCTCTTTGTTTGGTATGAAACTGTCCCTCCTCATTAATGGTGGCTCATCTTTCTTTCTTGCCAATCAAATTTGTAAGTTTTAATGATATATGTGTATAAAGGTTTAAATACTCTTTTTGAGTCCTGTAATATTTCAGCCGTTCAGTTCATTTTAATCTCTATACTTTCAAAACGTTCATTTTGATTTCTGTATTTTAAAAAAGTGATCATCTTGATCTTTTAACTTTCATTTTTATCTCATTCATGACATTTTACATACTAAATTTCTTGTAATGTAATTATAAATTTTTATAGAAGGATTTCCATTGTATATAAAATTTGTGTTAAACTTTGCAAATATGGACAAAAATTGTCATATTTTGAAAATATAAGGATCAAAACAGATGTTTTGAGAATATAAAAGATTAAAATGAACCAAAGTTAAAAGTACGTAGAACGGAATATACATTATGAAAGTATAGGAATCAAAATGAATCCAAAGTAGAGTATCTATAAACATATCATATATAATGATGATTACATAAATATTGTAGTTAATTATAAGTATACAAGGAAAAATTTTCAAAATGAATAGAGATGATACTAACAAATCATAAGATAATGAATGCAATATTTTGTTTGTATTCTAATAAAAATATGGGCATACCTGACTTGTTAAGTTCACATGCATTCCTTACAAAAGGGCAAAAAAAAAAAAAGGAAAGATAAAAGTTCACATGTATTTTATAAGAGAATGTTGTTGAAGAGAAAGGAAACTTTATTCGTCCTATAATTTGTGATCTTTGTATTTTAAAAAAGTGACCCATTTATTCTTTATTCAAATTAATTTTTTATAAAACGAAATCCTTTAATTAACACAAAGTTATGACTATCTGTTTTTTAAAAAAATTGAGAGTACAGTGTCGTATTGAAATTGTGATGGACAAAAATAAGATAAAAAGAAAATAAGAAATCAAAATGATCACTTTTAATTAAAAATTTAGGGGTAAATTTGTAATTCTTTGTATTTTAATAACCCAAGGTAAAACTTTAGTCACCGAAAGAACCTAAAAAGTTTACTTTACTAATTGACGTGCTCTTTTGTACCTTTTTAGATTGGATTAAAAGTAATTAACAATGTAAGAACAAGTGCATACTCCCATAATTTACTGCACAAAAATTGATTAATTTTATTAAAAGTGGGAATTGTTTATGAAAATATTTATTTCAAAATCAAAAGTGTCCCATGAACTGACAAAGTCTCAGCCGTTGAATAACTTACACCTATTTTATTTTATTTCATATTATTTTAATTTTTCTTATTATTTTATTTTTGCAGTTGTTTTGTTTTATGAGCAATTCATGGTCTTAATAGTACTTTGGACATGTGACTCCCTATCCCTTTCATAATCTTGCCTTATTATTTTTAGAATTTTTCATGCCTTTGTCTTAACTTGTACGTTTTGGTAATTGAAGCTGATTTTTCTCCTTGTTTTGATGGGTTTTTAATTCAACTTGGAATGTCTTTGTATGATGTTAAGTAATAATGTAAATATATGTATATAAAATAAATATATCAGGACGATCTATAAATTTAAGTTTTTAGATTTATGCTTAGTTTAGAATTGTTGTGGCTCATAAAATAATTGGCGTCAACCCTAGTTTTTATTAAGAATAAAAACAACTAGAAAATGAAGTAGATGGGTGCATTTGGTTGGTGGTATTGAAAACATAGATATGAAAGCAAGAGATTCCGTGGAAAATATAGTTGTATTTCATGTTTTCAATGTTTTCGAATATGTGTCTAATAAAAGATTCAGAAATTGAATATCAATTTTAAAAAATTGTTCAAAGTGCGTTTAATAATGCATGTGTAAATAATTATAAGAATAGTGGTAGTTACCAACTAAAATTTAATTCTAACGTAAAACATTATTACTTCATTTATTAACATATATGATATATAAACTTTGTACTTTATTATTTTATAATATATTATGTCATACATGTTTTAATTTTAACAAAAATAAATGAATTTACAACATGAAATAGTATATTGATCAAAGTTTTTATCTTTTCAGTGTAAGTAAAAAACAAATCTGCCAAGCAAATAGGATTGAATCTTAAAATAAAAAACACAATCCAAATTGCATATCAATAAGTTTTTAACATTTGGTAAACTTCAGTTATATCCAACAAAATGTTATACTAATTTGAATACAAAAAAAATGTAAGGAAAAAAATTATATAACATCATATCAGGCCCAATTGAAAGGTGATAATTAATTTAAATGGTTATTATTATAACCAGCTTTACCAAATGCTAAAAATGGTTACTGGTGGGGATGGTGCGGTAATAAGAATATGTGACCTTGTAGTATCGCCTACCATAAGTTCTCGTATTTTTTGCCTTGTGACTAGTGTTGTTCAGTCCAGGTAAAGCGAGTCCCAGTTATGAAGATTTACTCCACATAAACCATATAACATCAATTTCGAGAAATAAAATGAAAAATATGGAAAATTGCTAAAATTATTTTTTAATCACTCTAAAGTATTTAAAATCTATACCAAACGGACTTTAGTGATGGATAATTAAAGAAGACATTGTTTAAACTTTAAAACCTCTATAGCATCATTTTTCTGCAATAAAATAATATTGATGTAGTCCATTCATCGTGTCTCGTGCTAATTTTTAGCCTAAAATGAGGGGAGTGTAATTTTAGGCTTCAGTTTACCCGTGATTTAAGATATGAAATAAGGTGGCTCGAAAATTTTATCTGTTTGAATATAGAATATCCAGCCAAAAAATCGAATGAATCTTCCCATTTACCATGAAACGTGCAAGATAGAAGGTTAACATTCCGCTGCTCAAGTTAGTACAGATTGAAATTTACAAAATCGGGTTGTAATTGAGATTAGGTTGTACCTGCCTTTATACATGGCCATTTGATAGGAAAGTCATTAACTCATAAATTTTCCTCGAATTTACCAGATGTTCTAAAGATGACGAAACAAATTGAGATAGGGATCGGCACCCGATTGTAATTGAGTTTGACCTCCAAACCTCCGCATACTGATGGCTCCTTATAGCTCCCTTTAAGGGGTTATTCCGATGGTTCCACGTGGCATCTCGAATCCCCCACAACACTATCAATCCAATCTCTTTTTTTCTTTTTCTTTTTTTTGAGTACCACTATCCATCCAATCTAAAATGTGTTGGTTTAAGCTCAATAATAAATTCAACCTTTATAGTAGATTTTTGATTGGTTTATGAATCATTTTAAATCTAGTTTGAGTTTAATTAAACAAACTCGAATTTATTATTAATTAAAATTTTCTTATCATATAATTGTTTGTCTATAAATTAATTTCCATTTCCACGTGGCTTGAATCCAAGACCAGCTTTACCAAATGCTAAAAATGGTTATTGGTTGGGATGGTGCGGTAACCAAAATATGTGACCTTGTAGTATCGCCTACCATAACTATGAAGATTTACTCCACATAAACCATATAGCATCAATTTCGAGAAATAAAATGAAGAATTTTCCATTAAAGTAAATATAAAAGTTACTCCAAATGTTGCACAAGATAATAATCCTCCCAAATAGGATGAAGTTTACAATTTACTCCGAACTTATTATTATTCATATA